AAGGTGATGCTGGAATTCCACAGCAACAGGTGTCTATGGGTCGCGCTGGTTAATATTTTAACAATACAAACCCACAACCTAGTTATAAATACTGAGTGTCCACCGGAAGGCCAGCCGATGACCAGAATCAACCTTAATCTAGATTATTATGTATTTTTGATCAAAGTAGGCCTTGATTATTCTTTGCGACTATATGAAATAAAGTAAAATTGTGATTTTTATTGTATTACTGATCATTGGCTCCGAGTGGTCATCAGATGACCCGCCAAAATATTCGGAACATCCGTAAAATTGATTGTTGTTTAAATTTGTTCAAAATAGGCCTTGATTTTTTTCTGCAACTATATGGAATGTAGTAAAATTGTCGTTTTTTTATTTATTTATTTATTAGCTAGTCATTAGCTCCTAGTGGTCACCATGGTGCACTGGAAGATCTCGAACATCTGTAAAATTATTTGCTGTGTAAATTTGATCAAAGTAGACCTTGATTTGTGTCTGCAACTATATGAAATGTAATTAAATTGTGATTTTTTGGTGTAGCCCAGTACAACAACTTTCTAAAAAAATAGCAAAGCTTTATATATAGAAATAAATGAGATAATCCACCACAGCCCCTATTAATGAAAATCCTATAAACATAGTAGTATCCTATAAGGATCTGCCAATAAGTAATCCGGCAGTAAGGATTCCTGACTGTAATCCCTTTCGTATTGCTTTCATTCACTTTTCGCACTTTGCATATCAACGGCAGCAGACCAGCGGAACATGGTGAGACCAGGCCAATTATTCTTTATAAATTAAATATCAAAAGTAAACTGAACACGCGCCAGGTTTGAAAAGAATATTTTCAAACCTGGAAGTGTGTTTGCAGTACCATTATCCATATGTAATGTTTTTATGCGGAGCTTATTGTATGTGTAAGTGACCTCGGAATGAACGTGAATTACCAGCCATTCTGAAATGGGTTGCTGGATCTGCAGTAGAGCTATCACATTCTAACTCCCGGACTAAACATCCTTACAATTGTCACCTCAAGGATTATTGCAAGCAGATTTCTTCTATGATAATACTGCCGGCCAGTCGACATCGCTAAGAGGCGCATGTTGAACTTGTTTTGTCAGTTGCTGGAGCTCAATATTGTTCCAGATTATTGGAGGCGAGTGAGAGTAATAGCCATTAAAAAACCTGGGAAACCCGCATCAGATCATGAACCACCTACTCTCAGATACTCAATTTCAAGACCAACAATTGAAATGGCCTTAACTCCATTTTGTAAACAAACCCTGTAAGGTCATTTTCTCGCGAACCGAAGTCCGCAAAGGCAAACCAACATAATGAACAGGTACGGGAAATTCTCCTCTAAAGGGTGTCCACGATGAAATTGCCACACTATGAAATTGCTCTAACTTTTTAACCGTTGGGCAGAATTTAATGAAAATTTGGGTGGATTTAGTTCATAGTACATTATTTACATCCTGCAAGTTTTAAAGTCCTGTGATCAAAACTCGCGGAAATGGAGTCGAAAGAACAGCTCGTGCGTGATAAAATCTTGCGCATTCATCACGGATCCTTCGCATCGTTCCATCGCTAAAACGTTGGGAATCGCGAATTCCACGGTGTCGCGAGTGATTAAGCGGTTCGAGGAACGGTTGACCACCGATCGGAAGCCCAGAAGTGAAGGAAAAAGTATTCCGTACAACACCAAAAATCACAACCGCGTAGTTGGGGCCTTCAACCGAAATCCGAACGCCTCCGTTAGGGATGTGGCTAAGAAGCTGCACCTAAGCCGAAGTTTTGTCCAGAAGGCCAAAACTAAGGCTGGGCTTCGAACGTTCAAGGTACAAAAGGCCCCTAATCGCGACGAGAAGCAGAACAAGTCCGCCTAAACCCGTGCCAGGAAGTTGTACCTCAACATGCTGACGAAAGTTGAATGCTGCATCATGGACGACGAAACATATGTGAAGACCGACTTCAAACAAATCCCCGGCAACCTGTTTTTCACGGCCAAGGATAAGTTCAGCGTTCCGGAGCATGTCCGCACTCAGAAGATGTCCAAATTTGCGAAGAAATTCCTGGTTTGGCAAGCCATCTGCACGTGCCGGAAGCGGAGTGCACCTTTCGTGACCCAGGACACGATGAACGGACAGGTGTACATAAAAGAGTGCCTCCAGAAGCGGCTGATTCCTCTCCTGAAGGCCCACAACGTCCCAACAATCTTCTGGCCGGATTTGGCCTCATGCCACTACCCCTAGGACGTGCTGAAGTGGTATGCGGACAATAAGGTCAATTTCGTGCCGAAAATGTTCAACCCTCCCAACACTCCGGAGCTCCGCCCCATCGAGAAGTACTGGGCGATTATGAAGTAAACGACCTAAGGTAGTGAAGACAATCGAGGAACTGAAGAAAGTATGGGTTTACATGCAAAAAACGATTGATTCACAGGTTGTGCAGAATCTTATGGCCGGGGTTAAGGCCAAGGTGCGGGCATTTGCGTATGGACTGTAAATAAAATACAAGTAAAATGGTAAAATGAAGTTTAATAGTTATTTCTCAATCCCTGAAAATTTGATGGCAATCGGATGAAAACTCGAATTTTGCGAATCAATTTTGTGTGTGGCAATTTCATCGTGGACACTCTTTACCCGATTGTGGTTTAGGTTTGCGAATGAAGGTTTCGGTTCGCGAGAAAATGGCCTTACAAGGTTTGTTTACGAAATGGAGTTAAGGCTATTTCAATTGTTGGTCTTGATTTGGTTTCCTTAGGGGCAAGGGAACGAACGACTGTCTTGCGTTGCTTTCCACAGAAATTCAGTTGGCTTTTGCTAAAAAAGAGCAAATGGCTTCTGTGTTCTTGGATATTAAGGGGGATTTTGATTCAGTATCGGTTGAAGACTTTTCAGACAAACTCCACGCTTGTGGCCTTTCTCCATTAATTAATAACTTTTTGTACAATTTGCTGTCAGAGAGACATATGAGCTTTTCTCATGGAAACTCTACAACTTCTCGATTAAGTTATATGAGTCTCCCCCAGGACTCATGTTTAAGCTCCCTTTTGTATAATTTCTACATCAGAGAAATTGACAATTGTCTAAGTGACAACTACACGTTGAGACAACTTACAGATGACAGCGTAGTGTCGATGACAGGGCCCAAAGAGGTCGACCTGCAAGGACCCTTACAGTATACCGTAGACAATTTGTCTACTTAGGCTATCCAGCTAGGTATCGAATTCTACACGGAGAAAACTGAGTTGGTCGTTTTTTTCTAGGAAGCATAGCCCAGCACAACCGAAACTTCAACTTTTGGGTAAGCCGATAACTCATTCCATGTCTTTCAAATATCTTGGGGTCTGGTTCGATCCCAAATGGAGATCGTACATTGAGTATCTGAGACGAAAATTTCAACAAAGGATCAATTTTCTCCGAATAATTACCGGAACGTGGTGGGGAGCTCATCCGCAAGATCTTCTAAGGTTTTGCCGGACAACGATTTTATCGGTTTTAGAGTACGGTAGTTTTTGCATCCTATCGGGGGCTAAAACACATTTCATCAAACTGGAACGTATACAGTATCGTTGTCTTCCTATCGCGTTAGGATGCATGCACTCGACTCATACGATGAGTCTTGAAGTGTTGGCGGGCATGTTGCCACTGTCTGATCGGTTTTCGGAATTGTCCCTCAGGCTCCTCACCCGTTGTGAATTTATGAACCCACTGGTAATCGAAAACTTTGAGAAGCTTCTTGAGCTAAACCCTTAAACTCGTTTTATGTCATTGTACTACGGGTATATAACACTGGATGTCAGCATAATCCTCATCGTGTATGGTTCTCCGACTTTGGCAATTCAGTTAGTTTTGATTTATCTATGACTCAAGAGATTCGTGGAATCCCAGAACATCATCGTTCCATGATTTTTCCGTCATTATACACTGCAAAATTTGGCCAAGTTGATTCCGCAAGATCGTTCTTCACAGATGGATCACTAATAGAGGCGTCCGCTGGATTTGGTATTTTTAACGAATTTTATAGCACCTCTCGTATGCTTCAAGCTCCTTGTTCCGTATGTGTTGCTGAGCTGGCGGCAATACATTATACACTAGAAACAATTGCCTCACTTTCACCAGATCACTAGTTTATTTTTACGGATAGTCTCAGTTCTGTCGAGGCTATCCGCTCCATGAGGCCGGTAAAGCACTCCTCGTATTTGCTCATGAAAATACGGGGTCTTCTAGGTGCTTTGTAAATACGGGGTCTTCTAGGTGCTACGATGTAATAGTTTTAACCGAGACATGGCTAGACTCTCGAACGCTTTCCAGCCAAGCGTTCGGATGTGAGTACGAGGTATTTCGCTGCGATCGAAACCCGAACAATAGCCGAAAGTCCACTGGTGGTGGTGTCCTGATTGCTGTTAGGTCCGAGTTGAATGCTAGAGCCATAGAGCACGACATATGGAACTGCGTTGAACAGGCATGGGTAGCTGTCAAGCTGAGCGATCACACACTGTACTTATGTGTGATATACATTGCACTCGACCGAAACTTATTGTCGATCCGTTTCCACCATATTAGATTGTGCGTCACCTACCCGACCAGAAGGGAATAACAAATTTATTACAGCTTGTGTTATTTTGTTTCACTATAATTTGTAACACAGCTTGCTACATTTAAGATCCCGGATGTAGTTAAAATAACAAAAAATGTAACAAAAATTTCCTATAGATGCAACAAAAATATATCTTGCTATGTTACTTTCATAACAAAAACAAAACAAATTTTGTAACACAATTCTGTTGTGTTTTTACATAATTATATCAAATCATGTTATAATCAATAACAAAGTTGTAGCATTTTTTGTTTCAATTAAGATGTTTCCAAATAACTGAATTGTAACAAATCATATTATATTTTTAATGACTGATACTGTTTCTTTTTAGATTCAATAAAAAATCAGAAATAAATTTATCTTTTCATGTTTATTTTACACTTGTTTTATGGGTTAACCACATATTTAACTTGTAAAAATACATTTCTGCAAGTGGCAAACAAATTTAAAAAAAACTCGCAAATTCCGCGCAGTTTGTGAAGAAAACAAACTTAACATTTTTCTTTGAAATTCAACTCCACAAAAAGTAAAAAATTAAATGAAAATCAAATTGACATTACTTTCTTAGGTAACCAAACGAAAAGATATCATTTTTTGCCATAGTATGAAAATAGGCGAGCCATGTATCGGCCGCACTCTTTGGCCTTAACCCTAGCGACTGCTGGTGTATCTCCTTGATACAGCCGATGTTCTTCCAACCGATCTGAAAAGAAAATTCAGTTCAATAAAAAGGTTAGAAAATTTATTATACAGTAATGACCAGATTTGATCAGCCCATCCGCGCATCAGACTTTTATCTTTTAATAATTGTACTTAATCTTAACTCCAAATATGGCTCATGCATCTTCAAGATGGATGTTTAATGTATACTTTGGTGCAATAAGACCACTGAAAAAGCGTATGGGCTTCGTAGAACATAAGACATGATTTTCAAAAAGGGGGCTAACTAAATCGGGTCATTACTGTATTCATATATTACCTTCAACATACGAAACTTTTTCCGGTTCCAATGGAATCTTCGCTGATGGTTCATTTGCTTGATCCGTTTGTCCTCCGACACGTCCATGAGGGTTGTTGGAACTTCGACCGGTTACCGTTCGACGACGGAATCCGTCAGGCCACAGGTTATGCATTAATAATTTAACAAATACATAATCGCTGCTTGCCGCTTCCGAAATTTTTTTGAGTTTTTCCTTGTCCGGAAAACCTTCTGTTTCGGTGAACACCACTTCTTGCGGCTTTAACATCAGTTTTAAATTCAAAGAATCAGTCAATCGCAGGCAACGCATGTTACTCTCTTCTAACTTGGACTTGAGTTTTTTGGATTGGGTGGTCAGCATCTCATTTTGTTCGATCAGATTGTCTATTTTAGACTGCTGTCCACAAACACACACTGAAATATAATAAATATTATGAAAAAGGTAGAGGATTCTCGCATAATTCTTAAGCAAGTAGTCAAATCGGTTTAAATGCTCTTGCAAGCAATGGTTTCTAACGTTAATTTATCAAAATGCAAAGCTTACTCACGCAAACTAAAACCTCTATTAGGAATGTAAAATTTTCCTTTGCCTGGTGATGAACAGGGAAACTTGTTCAAAAAGGCACTTACAGGCTTCCCTCCTTATCTGCGGTGGGTGGTACCGTCCAGCCACCGGTATTTCTGTGTTGTCCTTCAACCAATTCAGCTGATTTTTTGTATATCATTAGGGTCAATCATAAATTAGTTATATACATAAAATCTGGTCAATCCTTTGAAGGACAACAGAGAAATACCAGTGGGTGGACGGTACCACCCACCGCAGATACGGAGTAAAGGGTGTACATCGATTTGATGATTTACTCGAGAATTCAGGCATAACATTTGAAAACGGCATATAATCTTATGTAAAACCTTTTTAGGCCCGTCACTCACTAAGTACGCCCTCGCAAACCAACAACACCACCGGGTAGGGGAAATTCTCCCCTTGTCGATGATGTTGTTGGTTTGCGTGTGCGTACTTCGGTCTAACGAGTGAAGGGCCTACAAAAGTATGATTACAAAAATTTATAGGCCGTTTCCAAATGTTACGTATGAATTGAAACCGGAGCTACTAGCTCCTGACATAAAACCTCGTTTGAACAAAAAAGAAGAAGACAAACTTACCATTCGAATCGGTTGTTCCTGGTTGCACAGGTGGAATTGAGGAACGCTTATCGCAAGCAAGTGCAGGTTCAGAATCAGATGTCATTTCAATATCTGCTTCTAGAGATCCAGAGGCTGGACCACCCAGGTTGTAAAGAGCTGCACCGAAGCTGACTGATGGACTTGGATCAGGAGCGGGAATTAGTTCAGGATCAGTTGCAAATTAATTAGATTTAGCGAATTAATCTATTTCGTGAACATATATTTTACCTGATCCTTTCATCGACAGTGCACTCTGCTGACGTTCGAAAGTCCTGGAAGTTGAATGCGCAATCGCTTTGCAGGCGTATGTTTTGGTACACCTCTTCGTTGGAACGTTTTTCTTGAATGCGGTGTTGTTGTTCTCGCTGTCGTCATCGGAATCTGAATCCCAGTCTCGGAAGAGGTTCATTTTGAGGCTCGTATGCTGCTGGTTGTCGTCTGCATCCATGTCAATAAGCGGAACGGGAGCCGCGGACCTCCTCGCGGTTGAGGTTGACGCCTTCGTCAAGATTTTACTGGGTTGTTTTTCAATTTCGGTTGTTGATTTCGTGCTAGATTTGCTTGGATGTGATCTTCGTGGAACATTTTGCTGAAAAAATCGTAGGATAATAACACATTTTAGGTTAAGTTTATTTTTGAAGAATAAAATACTACCTGTCGAGGCCCAACCAGCAGAAACTCCAGGTTTTTTGAGTTGGCCTCATTCTTTAAGTTTTTCACTGCTTGTCTTTTTGAAGACTTTCTTATTTCGTTGACATAATTTCACAAAAACTAGTGCTAAAAAATCAGCGCGTACAACAATTACACCGCATGGCTCAGTAGCTTGACAGAACGAGTGATGCACGGTCAACAGAAATAACCCACGGGGTGAGTTCAGCTTACTGACTTTTGAGTCAATCTGCGGAAAAACAACTCAAATCGTACTCACTTTCGACAAAAGCGGGGTTTAATTTACTCACCGGGTGATTAAAGCAAACCTCACTTTTTCCGAAAGTTAGTACGAATTGTGTGGTTTTTCCGCAGATTGACTCAAAAGTGAGTAAACTGAACTCCTTCCGTAGGTTATTTCTGTTGGCCGTGTGGAAAAAGGCAGGAAGGGTAAAGATGAAATAGAGTTCTCCAGATGCCAAAAAGTGTGCGTGAGACCGCGCGCTACCTTTTTAAGTAGTTGTGTAATCGCGATACCTTTTTGGTTTTTCTTCTTCTTAATTTTTATATATGGATGTTGGATTTAAGTGTTCGTGAGATTGCGCTTGGAGATCTCTATATGGCTGCCTTTTTTCGTTTTTGGGATCGCAGCTTTCGTTTTGAGATTGTTATTTTTAGCTTGATTATTTATATTTTAATCAAACATTTTAATTAAAAAAATTAATTAAATATTTTAATTTTGCATTCAAATTAAAATGGAAATTTTCAAAATTTAAAATTTTAAAATAAAAAATAGAACTTGAAAGCAAAACTTGAACTTACATTCAAAATAATTGAAACTAAAATTCAAAGCTTCAACATGAATTTAATAAAAAAATGAAGTTTAATTTTCATCCTGAAAATAAATGTTCATATTTGTGTTTTATTTCCAAACGTTAAAATTTTATTTTTTGAAATTGTAATGTTAAGTTTCAAACAAAGATCTCAATTACTTATTTAAATTTAAAATTTTAATTATGGATTTTGATTGAAATTTTCATTTTCAACTTCTAAAAACAAATTTCAATTTAGAATATTTGTATTTCAATTTCAGTAATAATAATTGATTTAAATTTTTGAAACAAAATAAATTTTAATTCACATGTTATTCTTATTTTATAACTATATATTCGATCCAGAATTTAAATTTTATAGTTAAGTATTGTTTCGTTTGATATTTATATTTTTAAAATAAAACTTTTATTTAAATTTTAAATATTTATAAATATTAATTTTCGTTACGTAAAACTTTTTTTTTAATATGAATTTAAAAATGTTAATTTATGTTTCCAAAGCACAATAAATATGCCAATATAAAATTAATAAAAAAAACTTTTCATCTGGCAACCTTGTTTGCATGGTGCAGTCTTATTGACATTTACCGAACAACAATTAAAAAGGGACCATCAGCTTTCGAACAATCTTTGTTAACCCTTCCTCGCTAACTAACTCATACAATCCAACAGCATTATCAGATAGGTGATCTGTCACCGTCATCCCTTGGGTGGCCTGCGGTTTTCGAAGAAACGGCTTACAAAGATTTGCTTACAAAAGCCGATAGGTTTATTTCAATTGTTTGTCGAGATTTATATAGAGAAAAGCACTAACCCATGCCATTCATCGAACTATTCCCTGTACAAAGCTGTGAAAGGTTGAAACATCAACAATTTTAATCCTTTTGTGTGATATTATAATCAATTATCTTGTGTAGTACGTGTTGTAAAATGAGTGAAAAACGAAGACCTAATCAGTATTGGTTAATGGAACCCTGGATCAACCAGAAATACATAAAAAAGGTATTTGTCATATATGGATAAATTCGGAACTCAATAATCTCTCTTGAATTTACAGCGCAAGAGGAAAACTCAAACTCACGAAACTTCTTCCGAAACTCTTGATTCTATAGCACATAGTTACTCAGGTTCAAATGATCGTGAAATTATGGAGACAAGTATTAAAATAATGGGTTATCGATGTAATTGATGCCACATTTCTTTCACTATTAGCTCTTCAAGTAGTACTAAAAGTAATTATCCAAATAATGATTCACTGGAATCTGATACTCTGAATTACACGACTTATTCTGATGGGTTTCTATATTCTCACATTGAACAAAATAAATACTCTTCATTTATGTCTGATGATTTAGAGTATACAAGTGATTCATCAGAAGGCGAAATTTTGGAGGAAGGTGGTGTTGAACAGGTGAGGTTGATTATTTTAAAAACTAAGTCAGCTTTCTCTACCAGATGCTGCTGATGGTTTGCATTAATCTATATAGAGCTAGAAAAAGGGCCTATTTGCTATGATCGATTCTTTTCATCGACTTTATTCTTTTAAAACCACGGCGAAGCTGGATAGGCCACCTTTCCTGCTCTGTATAGAAATGAGTTTTGATCTGTGAGAAATTGAAGTAGACGTATTGGTGCATATATACTTTACACATTCAGGTTAAAATATTTAAAAAAACAGTGTTCTCATGAATAAAATAACCACATTTATAGTTGGATTTTATAATGTAAAGTTCAACACAACAACGTTATATTAAAATCACCACGTGTAGTGTGTATTTGTGCTTGATTTTTTTTTATATTTCAGGAGCAGATCAGTACTTGCAATAAATTTATGAAGTTCAGAAATGATATTCATATTAGTGACGTACTATTCATGATTTTAAATTTCTACAATAAATATAAATTACCACAACAAGCAGTAGAGCATTTATTAAGAATGTTCAATGTGATTTCTATAAATGATGCCTTGCCTGAGTCCTTTGCAACTTTCAAACAAAAGTTTCCAAGCCAGCATGAAATAGAGCGTAAATATTTTTGTACGAACTGCCAATATGGGTAAGTGCCGCATATAAAAAAATATGAAAATAAATACGATAATCTCATTTTCGTTTATTATTCATTGTTTTAGATATGATGGCATCCCTAGGGTTGAAACTGTTTGTCCTGCAACGAATTGTAATTCTACAGAAAAAGACTTTTTTGTTGTCTTCTCGTTGGAGCATCAGATCAAAGAAACTGTTTTGAAATATTCTAAACAGATTCAGGAATACGAAAAGCATGTTATTGAAAAGAATATTTGTGATATTAATACTGGACTTCTCGCAAAAACAATCATGTCACGTGAGAGTGGAAAATTTATAACTCTATCAGCGAATGAGGATGGTGCTGCTGCATACAAAAGTACAACTAAGAAGCCTCTTTATCCTCTCTTTCTAACTGTCAACAACTTGCTCCCGAAATTGAGGTTCGATAGAAATAATCTCATTCTTGCTGCTCTATGGTTCAATTCAGGGAAGCCTGATATGGCACTATTCCACAAACACTTTATCCAACAAACTCAACAGCTCCGGCAAGGAATTCAAATCGGATCGGAACACTACAAAATACTGGTTCTTCAAGATTGTATGGACTCGGTTGGTCGATGCGAAGTTTTATGTTCAAAACAGTTCAACGGTAAATACGGATGTACAGTATGCCTACATCCTGGAAAAACAGTCAACCATCAAATTCGTTATCCTTACCAGCACTGCAAGCTTCGAGATCATCAAACCACAAGAAAACTCATGATGCAAGTTCACCAATCAGAATGTAAGGAACCAGTTCTTGGTATAAAAGGCTTGTGCGTTCTGATAGGCATTCCTTATTTCGATATTATTAAAGGATTACCACCAGATTATATACATATGGTAAATCTAGGCATCATGAAGTTAATATGGGAGCTCCTTTTAGAAGGTAATGCCGAGAATAAATCACAGCCGTACTACATCGGAAATCAAAAAGAAGTGATACAGCAAAGATTGCAGGGTATACGGCTTCCAAGTTGTTTCCCAAGACGAATACGAAATGTGGTCGAATACTCTAAGTATAAGGCTAGTGAATGGGAAACAATACTTTTTCATTGTTTTTATCCTTGCTTGCATGATTTGCTCCCTTCCAAATATATGGATCATGTTATGCTCTTAAGTTCCAGCATATTTCAACTTCTTGAGCTGAGAGTGTCCAGAAATACAGTTTCATACTGCGAAAAACAATTAGATAGGTTTGTAAAAGATTTTGAAAAGTATTACGGATCAAAAAATATGATGTACAATGTACATTTGAGCTCTCACCTTGCACAAACTGTAAGAAATCTAGGTGCTCTCTGGAATTCATCTTTATACCCGTATGAAAATGGAAATGGAATGCTCATTGGTTTTCAAACATCAAAGAACCATCCTGTTATACAAGTTGCAAATAAATTTTTGTTAAACAGGATATGTCATTATGCAGAAATACCAAGTGAATCACCTACAAAAGATTGGATAGAAAAGCTTTGGAACTCATCACATCTAAACATAAAGTTTCATCACAATAGTCAATATGTATTACCGGATAATGTAGAGGCAAATATTGACCTTAAAGATGCTGTGTTTTGCGAAATTG